CTTCTGAACAAGTGAGAATGAGAATGGATTAGCGGTGTGGGGGAAGATGAATTCCTTATTAGGAAACTGATTCATTCCTACAGCTAGGCCATCAGATGCTTATCTTGGAGCAAAAAAGGTTCCGAGTCTGTGGTGTCATCACCTAGCCTCTATAAAGAAGGTCAGAAGATGAACCTTCCATCACCTCTAGACTAGGAGCATGCACAATATCTGGAAGCCACTGGAAAATGGTACCCAGTGCAAACCTCAGGGCCAAAGGTATGCTTGGGTTTGCTTGCTGGTGTATGGATAGGGTGTGAGTATATGTGAGAGGTACAGATAGTGTTTATGTATGGAAGTAGCAGAGGTGGCTTTGTGGACAACTGGTATGGTGTCATATCTGTTGATTGCCTGGTGTTGTTGCCTGGCCTATGTCGTGTTCTGTGTGACCAGGCCAGCAATGGAGATCACCTCAACAGAGGCCATTGATTTGGACAGCCTAGCAGAGGTCCTCACCAGAATCTAACTCCAGTATACTTCTATCTCCTACCTCTGGTGATTTGCAGCTGAAGGGTGCTTGAGTCAGCTCTCCAGACTTTCTACCCTGGGTGTGCCTTGCATGCAAATAGAGGCTCAAAATGCTCCTGTTCGAGTATTGCTCCTCTTCTCAGGGTGTAAAGGAATAGGGATCCAATTTCTTCGGCCACAGGTGAAAGTCACTTGAGTCACTCTGTCCATACAGCTGTGTGCTTATCAGGATTGTTAAGGGTTTCATTATAATAGGATAAGATCTGTTTACTTGTGTTATCTTTCTTCTTTCCTCTCCCTTGCCATTGCTGTTGATACTTACCTGTGCTTTAATAAACTGTTTATTTGTTTCAACTCACTTTCCCTTGTCTGTAAGTTTATTACTTAACCAGAGTGCAGGCCAAGTCACTGGGCTAGTAAGGCAATAGGTCTGGCTATTTTGCCAAACACAGGAGGAAGAGGAGACAAAAATCACCCCCACTGGACCAGGTCAGCCACTGATTAATCCATTTTGATCAGATACTAAATCAAATCCAGCTCCAACACTTAGGTGGAAAGGGTTCCTATAGAAAACCAGCATGCAATGTGTAATTAAACCCTGCTTTGTAAAGGAAGTACATAATAGGGCCAAATTAGGGTTGAGCAGGCAGGTTGTGTTCCCTGACTTTGTGATCTTCAAGGTGTTTCTGTATGGTTTCCCAGGTTTATTTCATAGACTCATAGAAGTTAGGGGATGGAAGGAACCTCAGGAGATCATCAGACCCAGCCCCGCTGCTCAAGGCAGGAAAGACTACTGAGGTCAGAAGACCCCAGCAAGGTACATGTCCAGTTGGCTTTTGAAGCTCCTGCTTGGGAGACATTGCCACAGTGAGCACCAAAAACTCCTGGCTCTCCCACATGGACCCTCCAGCTTCTTGGACCCCAGGGCCATGTCTCTACCTTTGAGGACCATGCACATGTGGCTCTCACCAATGCCTGGGGGTCATGTCAGGCAGCTGACCCAAGCCAGGGGACTATCCCTGTCAAGGCTATGCTACTCCCCCACAGTGGGACCCGGGCCAGGAATGGTGCCACGGAGAGCGGAAGAGCTCCCCCTCAGACCTCCCAACCAGTGGATGAACAAACTGAGGTTGCCAGGCTCTGGTGGCAGAAGTTGCCCCCGTGACTGCCTGGCCCAGAAGGCTGGTGGGCCATGCTCTCCCCTGCTTTTGAGTGCTCTTTTAAATAAGGCAACCAAGTAAAACAAACCAGTTTCATCATGTGATCACATATCAATACCAATTTGCATCATCAGCAGTGCTAGAATTGTTGAATATACTGCAGATTTCACTGAAGTAGAACAGGAGAGTAACTGATAGCACTAACAACTTACTGCCATGCAAAGATAAAGCACCCCCTGCTAGTGTTGCTCTGCAGCACTGCAATAATTTGCTGATGATTCATTAGTCTACTGTGACATGAGCTAGTTGATTAAATGAAATTTTATCTCCACACATTGTTTCTGAAGATTAGGCTAAACTGCTTTAATCCACCTAGTACAACTGTCCTTAAAATCACCTATTGTAAATATTGCTGGACTAGTTTGGGGCAGATGAGAATGCAAGCATGCAACATGCCTACTGTGACCATTTTCTGTGGCCTTTAGCCTGGCTGTAGCAGAATAGTAAACACTTAGGCTGTTTATGTTTTGCATAGTTCAGATTTAAACATGGTCTCAAAACTTGCCCATGATTCTGTTTACAAGTGTTTTTACAAGTATTACCATCCATGTAATGCTTATATAACAGCATGATGCTCTGTACAGATTAGGTCAGAAAGTGACTCAAATCATCTCCAGTTTCTCTATTTCTTGAAACGACAGTATTCTCTTCAGACTGGCTGCTGTTCACAGTGTAGCTAAATGCAAATATGCAGAATACTTAAATATCCATACACATCATTCATATAGCTTAATGTGAGCATGACTGGCATAATTACAACAGGATCAATTTACTTTATTAAACATTCTATTCAGTTTCACTACTAAAACATTGTTACAAATTAGCCGTAATAACTTTTGAAAACTGTATATACAGAATTTTTTCAATAATTTATCCTCACCAAATAAGCTATTTATAGCATTGCATTTGATTAAAATGTGCTATAACGTTAAGCATCCAAGAGAGAGTTTCTATAAATACTACAATGAAATGACTATTCTAAAAGAATGTACCATCCCTTTTCTAAAAGTAATTATTAGCTTGGCATCAGGAAAAAAAAAAAATCTATACATTTTTTGGAAATTCAACATAAAAAAGTTACACCATTCATCTATTCATTTCAGAAAACAGTGAAAGTGATGACAAACAAATATTATTTTTTCTAAGTACAGACCAAAAGGAAAATCCTATTAAACTTCAAACTGCACATTGCAATAAATATGTAGAAAAAACAAATCGTATCATATTAGAATGCAAAGACTATGTTGAGTGTGTTCCGGCATTCATTGCTATGTATTGCCATATGAAAAGCAATGTTTGCAGGCTAGTAAATAATATTACACCTGGATGTTCACTGGGAAAAGTAAAGTAATGTACTGTCAGATAATCTAGAACCTGGCTTGGTCATCTCATGGGCAAAGTACAGAGGTTCAAAAAGCCCAAGGCACAACTGATTCAATCTTCACAGGTTAGTCTACACTGCATAGCTTGAACTGATAACAAACTGAACTGATGTTCAGTGTTTGGGTGGCCAAGACAGGCGGAAGTTTGCACCGGCCCAGACCACGAGAGCAGGGGCACTCACATGCACCATCTTAAGCCTAAGGCTGCTAAACCAAGCCCAGTAGCAGCCCAGGCCTAATTGGCTGCTGCATAGCCCCACCTCAGACCCAGCAGAAAGTCTCCCCCTCACATCTACCTATAAGAGAGGAAACACATCACTTGGCCCTGGCCCCATAGCTGGGGTCTGCCTGGCATGGGAAAAGCCTCCACAAAGGAACTTTTCACCCCCCTTCCTCCCACCCTGCAGCCTGGCTAGCAGGGCTCCAATTGGCTCAGCCATGCCCCTCCCCAGCCCCATGCCTGTGGGTGGGCGGGGGGGGGTGTGGAAAATACATACACCTGGCCTGGCCCTAGTCCCCCCAGCAAGGGTCGGCCCAGCATGGAGAGAAGTCCCCACCAGGGGTTTTTCGCTCCTCAACAGCCCAGCTTGCCAGGCTGGGATCCACTCAACCCTGCCCCCTTCCCAACCCGCTGTGAGAGGCAGCAGGCAGAGGGGTTTGAACACACTAGCTTAGCCAGGCACTGATCCTCCCAGCTGCAGTCTGCCCAATGGGGGTGGGGGAGGAGCTCCCACTGGTGGCTTTCCACTCTCCTGCCAGGTTGCCAGGCTGGCATCAGCTCAGTCATGCCCTGTCCCTGAGATGTGGCTGAGCTAATCCTTGTCTGGATCACTTTGGTATGCATGTTGCGGGTTTCACTGTGGGGGAGTGAAAACCTGATATGGGTTTTCAGTTGGAGTGAAACAGGTTTTCACTCCAATCTCCAACTGGGGTCTGCTTGGCATGGTGGGTCATGGTACCAGGCCAGAGTGTTCTCCTCCCCACACCTCTCACATGTGGGGGCTGCAGAGAAGGCAGGGCTGAGCTGACCCCAACCCAGTGGACTAGGCTTTGGAGGAATGGAAAGCCCCCAGCAGGGGCTTCCTTCTCCCCCACTGGGCAGACCCTGGCTGGGGGGTGGGGGTGCTGAGCCAGACTGGTGCATTTCCCCCATTCTGGGATGTCGGGGACTGTGAGTTAACTTGAAATCAGGAAGGAATGTGGGACAGCAGTTCCATAAACTGGTTTTACCTAAATCAGCTAAGTCTGATACTGCATCCATCCAGGTTTATCTTAAACTGGTTTTGGTCAATTTTGAAAGCGGTTTGTGTGTACTGAACTTGTGTTCCATTATAGGTTTAAACCAGTTTTGCATCACTTAAACCAGTTTGTGTGTAACTTCTGTCCTGGAGGCAAAGGCTGGGACTGATGCAGACCCTCTTGGAGGAAGTCACTCTCTCAAGCTGATCTCAAGTCAATGCTCACACTCCCTCCAGAACATGCCAATGTTACTGTGCCTGGAAGCAACCTATGAATGCCCACTCTGAGCAGGAGACACTTTTCCAAAGGCAAAAGATTTCACAGCATGGGCATGGCAAGCTTTTCAATTCTATCCTTTTTCCATTGTGGTCATATATGACAACTAAAAAAAAAAAAAATAAAGAAGTGGATGGGGTGGACAGAGACAGGAACATCAAGCATTCAGAAAGTTTTCATTAGATTAACTCTCAAACCTATATCCCACTGAGACAAGTGACAATCCAGTGCAAAAAGGTTCTCTTTCATCATATTTATTGGCGGTGAAGAGATTTTTATCTTAAATCTTACACAGCTACTTCCTTGTGAAATTGCTCTCCGTACACTTAACACCAATTCTACGGTTGAAGCATTTACATTCAGTTTTATTACTTACTTGTACACCAGGTCCAGAAGCAGCTCCAAATGGTGGCCGCATCATAGGCTGCCCATATATAACTGGCTGCTGTGGCATCATGGGTACACCTGCTCCAGCAGGAGGCTGGAAAATTAAGTAGTTACGGGTTTTGTTTTTTTTTAAATTTTTTTAAATGAAGGAAACAATAAGTGTCACAAATTGTTCCATGAAGGACCCCCAGGGCCCCACACATCCCCCCACTGTGCTGGCACTTGCCCCAAGAAACAGACAAAGTTTGCCTTAGAACAGCTCCCTACCCCAGCTCCATTGCACTTATACCCAACTTTTGCGATACAGCAAGCTCCCTGTTGGGTTATGAAAGAAATGATAGGCTCCCCTCTCTGTAGAGAAAACTAGCCTGGGGCATCACTTGCCCCAAAATCATTCTTCCCACAGGCAACCTGTAAGGATTCATTATGGAGGCAAAAATAATTACACAAGCAAACTGAACTAGAGGTTTGGAAGGCAGAAAAGCAAAACAAGAAAGGGTACCTCCTACCTCTACTGAGATACTTGCCAGTGTCCCTAATATTGAGTTTTCGTGCCGATTCTGCAAGCACTGGCTGCCGAGGTCACTGAAAACCCAAAGCCTGAGATTTAAAGATCCTGATTCTCTCTTAGCTAGTCTCCACACAACCTCCCCTTACTACAAGTAATGTAACGCTCGCGAGTCCCCAGAACCTTCCAGAAAGTTCTGCTTTTCCTGAGATACCTGGAGCCCCTCTGGCTAACACGCCATTACTTTCAGATACCTCTGCTATAGAGGAGTTGATTTACCCACTGCAGGCAGACTATGCCTTGGGATCCAATTCCTGAGGTGCGTGTAGACATATGGGGAGGCTGCTCTGCCATGCTGTAATTACAGCGCATTGGAGCAGATTTGATTAAATCAATTAATCAAGTCTACTGGAGTGTGCTAATTGGTGTGCTTCCAGCAGCTTCTACATCTTGTGTATCAGTGTCCCTGTGCTTCAAAATGGTGGCAGGGCCGCTTTAACTATAGCTTGTCAAATGAGCTTTAGTTAAAGTGCCCCTATTGCCATTTGGAAGCACGGGAGCACTGATACACAAGATGCTGAGGGCACTTTAAATTAGAGTGGCTCTTGGAGCTGCTCTAATTAAGCCCTCCCCTCCCCCACATTCCTGAAGCATGTGTAAAAATGCCCCTTTTGTTTGCCATTGGGAATGGCAGTTGTCCTTGCCCTAGACCACAATGGCAAGTGATAATTAGCAGGTCTGCCCACTCCAAGTTCCTTGGCTAAACCATAAAGATCTATATAGCCAGTGTAACAATCTATACAGTGATGGCAGTCATGGAAATAGGAACTTAAACACAGACTTTCCAATGAGAACACATGTGCCTTATTAGTACAATAAAACACAAGAAAATATTCATGACATGCTGTGACCCCCGCGTGCCCCCCCCCCCAAAATATAAAGGTTGGGTGGGTCACAGCATGTCATGAATCACTTACCATTCCAAATCCTGATCCTGGTTGCGCAGCAGGGGGGGCACCTGCTGTTGGGGGAACAGCACTTGCTGGAGGCACAGTTCCTGTCTAAAAAGAGGATTCAGGGGGGAAAAAAAGATAAAGTAAACATTTCTATAAAAAAAATTAACTGTAACTTAGAATCAAATAGGAGGAGGGGACTCATGTCATAGCTATTCTACAGCATAAAATTCCTCAATCTCCAAACGTGTATTTACCAGCATAGGTGGT